AGCGCTCCCGGTGCCCACCCGGCGCTCCCAGTGCGCACCCAGCGCTCCCGGTGCAGCCGCACGCAGCACTCCCGGTGCCCGCCGTGCTCTCCCGGTGCTCACCCAGGTCTCCTGGTGCCTGTTCAGTGCTCTCAATGCCCTCGAACTCACGCAGCATGGGTTTCATGATCTCGAGGGAGCCGTCGTGGGGCTCGGGGGTGATGCCCAGCAACTGGCAGAGCAGGGCGTAGACGTTGACGCTTTCGAAGGGCTCCACCACCAGCCCCTGCTTGAAAGCCGGCCCCACGGCACGGAAGATGGTTTTCATGTTCATGGCTTCGTTGTCAAACCCGTGCTCCCCTTTGTTGTACTGGACCTTGAACCTCTGGAAGGGAGAGGAGGTGTGAGTGCCCAAAAGCGTCACCCCCAGAGCACAGCCTGCAGTGAAGTCTTTACACAAAGAGCTGGAATTTCCACCAGTTTGTAGGGAGACCCATCAAGATGAAGGCGTAAAGCCGAGTGGGTACTGGGGTGCTACGGGAAGGACGGGAGGAGAGAGGCAGTCCCCAAAGCACAGTAAGAGGTGTCTGTGCACGTCTTACCCCATGGATGACGTATCCCGGGTCGCCGTAGAGCACGAGCGGGGTGATCCGGGGGTGGTTGGCGTAGTGGAATCGCTTTGGGAAGTCTGCTTTCTTGTACACGTGCAAGTTCGGGTGGGCGTTCTTCAGGACCGAATACACGTGCTCTAACCTCCCTTCCTTTGGCACCAGCAGTCCGCTGGGTCCGTAGTCTAAGAGTTCGAACTGGATGTCCGTGAACGTGAAGTTCTCCACGGTGCGGATGTGAATCTCGTTGGTCTTTATGACGGTCTCCATGCCGTGGTCAGACGTGATGACCAGGTTGAGGTTTGGCTCCAGGCCGCTCTCCCGGATGCGCTGCCGCAGGTAGCCGATGGTCCTGTCCACCTGCTCCACCATGCTCTTCCTCTGCGTGGATTCGGGGCCGTACTTGTGTCCCGTCGAGTCGGGCTCTCCAAAATAGAGGGCGATGAAGTCGAGGCCATTCACCGTGAACCACTCCATGACCGTGTCGATGTTCTCTCTCCAGTTGGTTTCGTTGCTGTAGTTGAACAAGAAGGGCTCCACCAGCTTCATGTTCACTTCTTCCCCTTGGTATTTTGCTCTTCCTCCAGGGAAATAGATGGAGCCCGTCTTTAACCCCTGTTGGTGGAGACACTGCATAAACTCACCTGAACTCAGCATCTCTCCGTCTGTCACTGCAGCCGCCTCCTAACGCGGTTGGTTCATCCAGCCCCCTAAGGTCTCCCTCTGCCTCCAATGAGGTTGTCTTGCTTATTGCCAATTAGGAGTGATTAATTAAAAGCACTGCCCTTCCCAGCTCTCCTGCATGTTGGTTTTCTCACGGCGTTAGTAACTCTAGGTACAACTTTGGGAACAGTGACCCGTTTGGACGCCACCTTGGCCATGACGATATTAACGGGGTTTTACTCCAGTCGTGTAAGTGCTTATGGGAAGTCAATGGGGCCCATTTGGCAGGTGAATACAGGCAAAGGTACGCGTCTTGGGCCAGGTCTCAAAGTCTATGGGGGTCTGGGATGGCCTCGCTGCAGTCCGCAGGGAAGAGGGTCCCTGTCCCTGTCCCCCGATGGTCACTGCAGCAGTGGGATTTGTGCCTTGGGGGGTATGAAACCCCTGGGCTCGTGATGCTCCTTAAGGAACCAGCTTGAACAGCAAAAGCATGACCTGTTTTACTAATGTCTTAATAAAGCTGAAATGCATCTATTATTTTTCGCTATTTTTAATAGAACCATCATAATTATTCCTGCCAGCAACTGGGGATTTCATTTTCTTGCCGGCCTAATTAGCCCGCCGCCTGCAGC